TAGAATTTCGGAAAAGGTTTCGGTTTTCAAAGGCCACTATTATTGAGGTGATATTACCTTTTTTAAACGAACCATTATTGAAAGCGGATAATCGTTGACTACCAATATCAAATAACACCCATTACTCAATTGCTGGTATGTTCAAGATTCTATACAAGTAGCTTTCTATTCTAGAGATTCTATACAACAAGCAGCAATGTTTCTATGATTCCATGTCTACTTTCTTACATAAAGTGTATATTATATTCTAGCTTGTGTCCGGTAATCTTCGTGATCTTCGCCAGTCTTTCAGCGATTCAAAAGACATATTTACATAATAACATTAACGCCATATTAGATTCGCCAAGTTCGCCAATAGTCCCAATATAAAATTACCAAATAAATACGAAAGTCCCTATACATCTATACTCGACCGAAACTTCGCGAAAATTCACAAAGTACTGTTTATAAATCGTCTTTCTTGATTGAGAACGATCTCGTACTTGGCCAAAAGCATGAGCTGAGCATCGGCTTAAGTATCGTTTATAAATACGGGCCTAAGTAAGCATTAGAGACCGACATTGGTACTAAGAACAATGGACTTATTATAAACAACTTGAAATATGCAGATCATATGGTTATTATGGCGGAAAGCATGGAGGAGCTCCAACAACTTTTAAACAGCAAGTGCTCTTAATGACTGGGCTCTTAGAACAGAGACGTGAGGATGGGTGTAGACAAGCCACAGAGTTGATTGGAATGCCAGGCGAGGCCAAGGCAACGTCCAAACGGCTGATGTTAAGGACTCAGTGAGCCCTGAGAACTCTGGTTGGGGTCATGACAGGTTTGAACAGACACCTACACCTACTTGGAATCGGTGATAGCTCCGTATGCCCACAATGTGGAACGGCATAGGAAACATCGTTCACCTTCTAGGAGTATGCCACCACTGGTCGTCCATGAGGAGGCGCCTGCTTGGGGCCTCCACACTCTCCTGCACGGAACTGTCTTACATAGAGTGGAGACGGATCCTCGCCTTCGTCAGGACGCCTGGGTGGTGAAGAGGAGGGGTAGTAAAAGCGGGTGTGGATGGAGGGGAAATGGAGAAAAGGGCCTCTAAGACCTGTTCGCCGCACCCATTCGGGTACCCCCCCCCCACAGAACTACTACTAAATCATGCTGATGATCCGACAGAGAAAACAGAAATCGAAAGCTGGGCCAGACCTGATGATATGGAAAACAAGTCTGCCGATTTGCATCAGGAAATCTTGGCAGTTTGTTAAAACAAGAAACGAGGTAGCAATAAAGTGTGCGGTTAACTGATCTTGATTATTTTTGTTGTCACTAATAAAATATATGTCAATTAAAATATGTACGTATGTAATCTATGTCAATTGTTACACTTTTATGTTATGTATGTACATACTAAAAAATGTTTTTACTGTCATTGAGTATATTTTTTGTGCTAAAAATGGATTTACGTACATTGTACATATACCGTTAAGAAATATATATACGTATCTATAAACTAAAGGGGCTCAAAGCATAGATTAAGTACTAGTAGTAGTATTAAGTACTACCGCTTCTAGTACCCAAGTTCTGTTACAAATTTTCCAGCTGAACATCATGTCGTTCTTCTCTGTGCTGTTTGGTAAGTGGTTATGTTTGATATAAACAATCGCTTAAAACCGTTCAGTGTTAATTATTTTCCCCGTTATTTCCTAAATTAAATGTTACACATGAACCTACGGGGTGATTCAAATTAGTTTTTTTCAAGGGATATTGTACCGACCTGCAGAGTAAAGAAAGAAGGGTTGCAGTTTAAACTGCATAAATTTAACAATTTTTTATTTTCAAGTAGTTTAATGGAATTTTTGCACGTGGTGCAATGAACATGGACAAAATGCATAACAATGTCGAACATGTAAGAAGTTTACCTACCTACTGTAGACTCTAATTAAGTCAAATATTAAACATGCTATAATTTTCATTCCTCCCAAAATACATTATGAATTTTTACATTTACTTTTTTGCAACAATTTCTCATCAAAAATGTTGTATGATGACACAAATACAATGACACAAATTTGTGATCACCTGTACATATGGGACCTACTCATTTTATAATTTAAGAGACGACCAATGGCCTGCTAGGTACGAGTGTAATTTTACTTGGTAACCAAGGAAACTTTAATTTCTTCTCAAAAACTAGTTTGTAAAGTTGAAATAAACAAATCTACATTTAGTGTTAAAAAATACTTCATTTTTTCCTTTTGTATGCTTCTCTTCTCTTCTAGCCACTTTTCGTCCAGAACTGGACATAGGCCTCCTTTCGTTTGTTCCATTTTGTTCTATTCTGGGCAATTCTCATACATGGAAGTCTGCCACCTTTTTTATGTTATCGTACCAACATGTGATAGGTCTTCCTCTCGCTCCTCTGCCGATCCATGACCTCCATCGCAACACTCTTCCATTCCACCTATTATCCTTTACTCGGGCGATATGTCTCGGGTAGTCCCATTTCAGTTGTGCTGCCTGGTCTATTATATCTGTTATTTTAGACTTGCTTCTAATTAACACGTTTCGTTTTTTGTCACGCAGATAAAAGAATATTCTTCTTTCTATATATCTTTGGGATAGTCAGCTTGTACAAGCTTGTTCACAAATTGCCCTGTGAAGGTCCATGTTTGAGCGCCGTATGTGGTTACTGGCAATACGCATGGGTCGTAAAGTTTTGATGACAGATACAGGGATATTTTTTTGTTGGTGAGTATATTTTTTTGTTTTGCGAAAGCCGCCCATCCTAATCTAATTCTCCTTTCGATTTCGATATCTTTGTAGATAAATTCTATATTGTTGAGGCGCATTCATTTTTTTACAAACTTCTTGTTGGGTATTTTGCCTCAAAAAATTTTGTCTTTAAAAAAGACAGAATTTCCTCACGTCTTTTATTACACATTGATAAACAGTGCTCT